TGTTTCCCAAGGAAGTGCCATCAAGGCCCTGGGGGAGCTGCATGCCCTGGCCCAGGCCTGATTCTTGGAATGGCAAACTGCAGTCCCAGGAGTGCCTGGTCCCTCACCTCTTCCTGCTCCACGCGCATTCCAGCTGGACCTGGGGGCTGGGCAGATGTGAGAGAAGGGGAACTGAAAGAAGAGCAGAGAAGGACCCTCCCAGATAGTGAGCCTGATGCCTCACACTTAACACGTGCTTTCACGGGAGCTTTTTCTTTCATTCTTACATGAGGCAGTCAAAATGGGCATTCACACTGCATAGGAGAGAAGCTAAGGTTTGTGAATGGTCCAAGATCACCTGCTCAAATTAAGGTGGCAGAAGGGCCTTGAAGCTTGTTCCTGATTCTGGACATGAGTGATCGGAGGCTCTTGCCGTGGGAGATGTCAGGAGGGAGGGTGTGTCCCTGACCTGGAGGATGGTAGGGACCTATAGGAAGTGAAAGCCAGTCTCAGAACTCTGTGTTCTGGGCAGGGTGAAATGATCAGAGTCAAAGGAAAGGGAGCCCACGACATTGAGGCTATAGCTATCTGGGATGGGACTTCCCCAGACCTAGAGGCACAAAAGGAGCCTAACCAGAATCTGCTCCAGACCCATCCTGGCCTATCAACTCCAAGACACCAGGGCTTCCTGATGACCGCCTGGGAAGCAGAAATGACAGCCACCACAACAATACTGATGACGGTGATGAATAAAACAGTGGAGAGGGATTTTTCCACGACTCAGAGGGAAACCTCTAGTCCAGTCCCACTTGGCTGGAGGTGGGGAGGTGACTCAACACACCACCACCCTCCCTCTCAGTATTCAAGACAGAGCTCTGATTTCTTGATTCAATGAAAGAGAACTCAGCCACGTGGGCTGGGGAGCTCTCAGGCTACAAATGGCTCTTCACTCATGCAAGATGGCCAGGGGGCATCACCTGGCTGCTAAGGAAGATGTCTTTATGGAGGTGCTGAGAAGGATGTCCGAGTGTGGCACATGTCCCCAGGTCTGTACCAGCTTTGTGCAGGTGGAGACTAGGGTCCAGTCCCTGGAGCTGGCTAGCACTGGCAACCGGGGGATCCCTCCACACGTGACTCTGTTTCCGTCTGGCCGTCCCTCCCCCATTTCCCTCCTCCAGCCTGTGGAATCTTGGGCCTAATTGGGGAAGTGGTGGAAGGGTGATGGGATCACGTATCCTTCCAGATGTTTTGGATTTGAGACAAGAACCCAGCTCTTTGAAGTTGAACAAAGGTGAGTATTTGGCCATCTTTGATTTCTCTGTTCCTGGGCTACTCTGACTCTTGGAATATTTGGGGAGGGTTCCAGTCATTTGTTGCTTTCCCTCCAGGAGAAAATGATGAGATGTAGCAGTGCAAGGCAGCTACAATGTCATCGAATCCCTATGACAACCTCCGGAGGTGGATCTTAGCCTCTCTTCTCTGCAGGCAAGGAGACTGAAGCCTGAAGAGGACGCAGCAGGGGTGGGGTAGGAGGGTGGGGTGCGGGTGGGCAGAGCATAGCAAGTTCACCTCGGCCTCCTTGATTGTACTGCTTGGTGGGGCTTGTCATCAGGCCTAAGCAGAGGGATGCTGAGTGATCTGTGTCCACTCCAACCTACACATTCTGGGGCTAGATAAGACAGAGGAATAGGGCAGTGCAGTGGGAGGTGGAATTCATAGGCGTTTCAGATAGGGCAGGTGAAGGGTTAAATGGGGACAGGTCCAGCTCTGTGCTGCTATTGTATTGGGCCTAGGTCTTCAGAACTTGGAGCAGGAGGGTTCTGGGTAGGGTGAGATGACCAAGGTCAAAGGGAAGGGAGGCCTTGACATTGAGGGCATAGTTATCTGGTGTGTTTTGCCTCCCAGTTCTAGTACTGGTCTTGGAGGGGTCACTCCTCTAGTGGGTCACCTCTGTACTGTTCTGAGAGCCACTGGAGGCCCAGCATGTCCTCGCTCCCTTATCTTTCACTGGTTTTGTAAACATCTGTATTCAACCTCTTCCTGCTTAAAGTGTCCTGCCCTGAACCCTTTATTATGTGTACAGTTTCCATCACCCAAGAGTAACTGACTGAGCGCTCTCCAATTTCTAGTTTGAAAAAGCTCAGGCAAGACCTCTGATCGGCCAGCTCTGGAAAAGAGGCTTACCTTGCTTCCTCAGCTGTTGCCAAAGGGGCAGGATCACACAGGGACGTGGCGACTTTGAAGGTAGCTATGGGATGGAGAGGAGATGGAGAGGAACGTGCCCAAGAGAAGGGAAGATGGAGGTCAGGTGATGTCAATACTGATGTCCCATGTAAACATCTGAAACGGGGACCAGGAGCCTGGGCTGGAGTCACCCACCTGCTCACCCCCAGGGGCCCCTGCCTAAGACACAGTCAACCTTGGGTGAAGATGGCACAACTGCAGCACCCTCTGGTTCTAAAGAGACAAGAGAAGCAGAAAATGCATCTCAAGAGGGCCCTGTTTTCTAGAAACATTTCTTTATTTAAAATTTAAAACCATATTACTTCATACAGCAAACTGTGCACTTTGATATATCACAGTGTCTTAAAAAGGAAAATAATCAGATTTGTTTGGAAATTTATTTACATCAGCCTAGAATGATTGGCAAGTAACACAGTTACTATGAAACCCAAATTGTTACAAAATGTTTACAAAAAACTATATTCATAGAAATTCTGCATGTCCACAAAGGGCATCCCCTGAATGGCCCAGAGACCAGTGTGTGGGAACTATGTTGAGTAGGATTGGGGTAGGGGGCGTCCAGGCACTCTGGTCTGGGTGGTGGGACAGACCAGGGGTCTCACATGGTGCTATCTTGGGGCTTCACCAAGGGGCTGGGAACCCAAGTCCCCATCGTGGGAGGCGCAGCCAGGAAGCTGGCACAGGCAGAGGTGGGCTGGGGGCTTGGAGCACAGTGGCAAGGGGGCCCCTGGAGCCTCTGATTCCTGTCCTGGAGGCAGGACAGACCCATCCTCAGGAGGGCTGGGTTCAGATATGCTTCGGCCAGGACCCCAAACAGAGGCAGACCCACAGTTAAGTGCAGACCAGTCTGACGCATGGGGCTGAAGCAGAGGGCAGACCGCTGACCACACGGAAGCCCACTCTAGACCCTTTCCCACGTGGTCCAGAGATGCTCTCGCCGATGATGGAGCCGAACCACTTGCTGAAGGGTTAGAAGGGAAAGAACAGACGGATCCGAGTGTGGTAGGGACGGAGGTCTGCAGGGGCAGGGCCAGGCTCTGTGCCAGCTGCCCTGCAGGGGAGGGGTGGCAGGGGAGAGGGTGGACAGATGCCACTAGGTGTGCTCAGACCGCCTTCTTGGCTTCCCCTCTTTCACCCCCGTCACTGCTCTGCTCACACCTCTGGCTCCCCAGTCACTCCCTGACAGCTGACCTTGCAGTCAAATGGGCTGGGGAGATTGTCTGGGGTGGGACGAACTCATGGCTGGAATTGCTGGGTCCACAGCTGTTTTCTTACATCTGGAGGCCTCAAAGTTTTGATCTATAAAATAGACACGCTGCGGGGTGATTTGAGGTCTGTTCTAGAAGACAGGGGCCGGGGATATCTGACTGGCATGCAGGGGGCCGTTCTCCTGAAAAAGGGTTTTCCTTAGCTGGGAGCTGGGTCGTCTTTGTGTGTGGTTGAGAATGTGAGGCAATGGCCTCTGCCATACTTCAGCCTTCTAGGGTATTCCAGGTGGAGCATCCCTGGCGGCTGGGCAGACAGGTATTGATAGCTGGTCCAGGGAGTGGCCCCCTCTTTCCCAGCCCTTCCAGCTCCCTGCTAACTGCCCTGGGACTGCAGCTGTCATATTGGCTCAGGAGCCCAGTACTGTACAATGCTGCCCCCCAGACAGAGGCCCGGCAATCCTCAGAGTCTCTCAGATGCAGACAAGGCCTGTGGGCCACTCCTGTCGTCCTCAGGAGGCCTACCTGCCAGCCCCTCAGTTCTCCCTTCCTCCTCAGGGTCTGCAGCTCTGACATGCATGGGCCCTGCCCGTCTCCCAGAGGGCTCTCCGCAGCCCCTGCCCCAAGCAGCTTCCATCCTAGACTCTCCAGCTACAGCCCCCGCTGCTCACCTGGTCCCCACCCACACTGGCTGGGTTATGTACACTCTGTGTGCAGACGTGCGGGGAGGGGTGCGTATACACACGGGCTACAGGTCATATATACACTGTGCATATATATATATATACAGCATATATATATATATATCTTTTTACATTCATATATATACTGTACAGAACTTTAACCTTCTACCAAAAACAGTTTTGTGACTTTCACGTATGGCCTCAGCTCTGAACTTCTAACTCCAGGGCAAATCCAGGATGGAAAGGAAGGCTCCATTCAGGCTGGCCGGGGGACTGAGGGCGGGACCCTTCTACTGGGGCAAGCAGTTGGGCCCGTTCCAGATGGGTCCTCCCAGCCCGGGGCTTTTCCAGCTGGGTCTAGTCCAGAGGCCTGTTTACAGAACTGGGCGCACTTCTTGAGTCTGTCCACAGGGCCGGGCCCATCTTAGAGTTTAAGTCCATACAGCTGTTTGTCCAGATCGCTAAGCCCTTCCCAGATGGCTGTCCACACAGGACCAGAGATGTGGGCCGGAGCAGAGAGCTGGGAAGGGTCTGGGAAGGGATGGGCATCATGCTGAGTGATGAAGCCACAGCCACCAGCCCACACCCAGCACACCCACCTGGGAGGAGATGTCGGGGAGGGTGCGTCCCACTGTTCTGGGTGAGCGGGTGCCTGGGTCTGACTTCTGCTTTCCTGGGGATTGGGGAGGGAGTGACTTCTAACCACTTGGAGCCTTCTTGCCACTGCCAGAGCCCTCCTCCATCCGGGGCTGGACTTGCCCTCTGCCCGTGCCCGGGGCCTTGCGGGGAACCCGTGTGCTCGGCTAGTGGAGACAGAGTCTTGGCTGTGAGCAGGGGAGGTGCTCCCACCCTTCAGAGACTCAGAGTCAGCTCCTCGGCCAAGGGGGCCTTACCCATCTCGAGACACGTGCCCAGCGTGGGGCCCATTGAATGGTGACAAAGTTCTCAGGTTTTTCTTATCTGTCCACAGAAGATGGACCAGTAACAGGTCAAGGGGAGAGAGAAAATGAGGCCTCAAGGCCCCGCTCCCCAGGGCCTTGGCAGGGTGTGTATGTCCCCAGTGCTGCCCTTTAATCTGGCCAGTTGGAGCAGGCTGAGGGGAGGCACTGGCATTTCGAGGTGGGGGATGGAGGTGGAAGGTAGGGGTGCTCTTCTCTTCAGGCCGGTACGTGCTGGGCAGGGACTGTCCAGCGCCTGCTTGGGCCAGTCCCATCCTCCGCTCTATCCAAACCAGTGTTGAGCTGCCACTGACCTCAGTGCCTCCGTGTGTGCGCGTGCACACTCGCCGTGGCTCAGATCCATATCCGCGGGCAGGTGGGCCTGAACGTTATTTTCACTCGACCCACCTTGCTTGGAGTAGTTCCCCGGGCTCCTACCCCAAGACGCAGCAGCACCTTCAGGCCCCTGGGACAGAGCTCACATTCGGAGAGAAGCGACCTCCGCTGCACTCTGAATGCTGGGCTGGTCTCAGAGACAAACACAGGTCATCAGGCAGAGTTTGAACCATTATCCACACACGGACGTAAGGCTCGAATGGGAGGTGATATCAGGCTGCGTGTCCTCCTATCTCCATGTAGGACTTGAGAAATCATTTCAGTCCCTTTCGGGGGATTTCCCTAATGGAATTGTGCCGCTAAGTTCCACCTTCCTCCCCTCCTTTGATGAAGCTCTTCCTACCCCACCACCTCCTAGTCTTCCTGCCATTGCAGTCTATATATGTGCATAGCCTCAGAAGAAACAACACGTTCATGGCGTGTCACGAAAGCACACACACGGTTGAGTGTGTGATACGAACATGGATGTGGGCGTGTGCTATGAAAGTAGACCGGATAAAGAAAGAGAGTGGCTCATGTCTGTGATCAGTGAGAAAAAATTGGCAAATACCTTCATCAGAATCTGGTTATCTGGAAATTGCCAAAAACAGTCATTTTCCCTTCAAATAGGACACTCCACAGAAAGCAAAGGAGTCACTGGCTGTGACTGCCTGCAGGGTTTCGTCCCTACTTGGCCCGTCTCCTCAGGCCTATGTAATCTTAGCAAATCCTTGTGGCAAATGACCTCTCTCCATGGCAGAAGTGTACCCAGACTCTAGTTCCCTTCCTGATTGTCCATCTCTGCTCCTATTGTGAGCTGGAACATATGTGCACGTTTGAACACACATACGTGAACACACACACACACACGAACTCCAGGCCCACGTGGCTCCTCACATACAACATGCATCCCTTGTGCTGTGCATCCATCCAGTCTGTCTTCCCTCCCGCCCTCCACCGCACACGCACATGCACACGTGCTCACAAACGGACCCCTTGATGACATGGCTTCTCCATTTAAACTTATTTAGCTTCTCCATTAAAACATATTTTATCTTGTCCTCCACCCTCTGCCATTAGGTGCACAAAAGTGCATGCGCGCACGCACACACACACACACACAGTTGTTCACGTATGTATACATATGTATACTCACCAGAACCCCAATATGGCATGGCTTCTCCTGTTTTTACATGTATGGGGTCCTGCTGCTTGTCCAGATTTATCTCCTTCACCCCAAATTCACACACACGTGCACACACACACATCAGAACCCAAAGGGTTCTCCTATTATTGCATGCCTGGGACTCTGTCACATGCCTTCATTTATCCTTCATGCCCAGCCCCCAAAGATCAGACATACAAAGATACACATACATGCGCACGCACACACAGACACACATACACTCCTACATCCAGGAGCTCACAACAGCATGGCTTTTCCTATCATGATGCGTGTTGGCCACGTGGCGTTCCATCCCTCTTCTCCCACCTCCAGTGCACACAGCCTGGCAGAACTGCTGTGGCCCTGGGAACCAGCTGGTTTGGCCCCACAGCTCAGTCTGGAGAAGGCGATAGTTATCACATGCGTCCACTGTGCTCTCCTGCTTTGGGACTCTTGAGGAGAGTTAGAGGTTACCCTTCACCCCAGCTGAGAAGCTTCTTGAGACCTAAATGTAGCTCTTTTCCTAACCAGGGTCCCCAGGCAGAAACAGAAGAGCGGTAGGGGGGTGGGCGGCTGGTGTCTTCTGGTCTCTATACAGATCTCCAGCCCCCTTTCCCTGGCTCAAAGCCTGCCCTCTGCCCTTGGCCACGGGCAGCCTTGCTGGCCTCATCGTGCTCTCTTTAAGGACACTTTGTTCCTAATCCCTCCACATCTCATTCTCCTCCCAGAATCTTACGCGTCTCAGACCTAGAGTATCTGTCACAGCTGGCTGGAACCCACGGATCACCTGGTCCACTGCTCACTGCACCTCGTCTGCTACCCCTTCTCTGCTGAACCCCCAAACCCCACAAGGTCCCAGCTCCTCTGGACAAGAGACCAGGGCCATTACGACTGTGTATCTCTGTGTGGGGTCTTTGGTTAATCCTCCAGGAGGCAGCTTCTTCCTCCCCACCCCAGGGGCCTCTACCAGGGAGACTGTTCTGCCCCCTGGAAATTTTTTCTCTGGGGGGCATCTTTAAGGTTTGGCAAGTCCAGGAGGCATGGAGTTCCTTATGTGCCCCTCCAATCCAGCTTTCCCCATCTACCCCAAAGTGAGCCTGTGCAGTGGACTTGATCCTCCTTGGAGGATAGGTGACAATGTTCACTTCAATCTAGGCTACTTTCCTCCTTCCATGATGACAGAAGGTGGTCAAGGTCAACAGGCCAGGAATGGGGAGTCGCTGAAGAGTAGATGGCAAAGAGCTCAAGCGTCCTAATGCCACCAGGGTTTAGGAAACAGCTTGCTAACCAGCAAGATAAAATCCAATGGCTCGAGGGCCTCTGGGATTTCCACGGAATCCACTGTTCCTCTGGCCGAGTCTCCGGGCATCCTTTGCAGGAGACTCTGAGGACCCTTTCTCCTCTGGTCACAACGGGGAGGTGAATTTGCTCTGACCACTCTCCCACTCCTAGAGACCTTCTAGAGGAGCGGGACCCATTGGGACATTGTCCAGAAGAGTACTAGCATTCTCTGTGCATCCTCCTCTCTCCCAGACTCCAAACTCCTCTTTTTCCCCTGTGGGGCTCCTGCCTTTAACTTTGCCCAAACAGGAGCTCCACCATGGGTGGTGTCAAGTCCAGGAGATCAGGACCATGTGAGCAGCCCCTGGGGGATGAGTTCTTCCTTCTGACCAGGCATGTGGGGTAGCTGTCCTCCAGCTTCAGTTCCCATTGGCAGCCGAACAGTAACATCCTTTTTGGTACCCAGGGTCTACGTCTCTGATCTCATAGTCAAGTTCCAGGAGGCCTGCCCCCATGGGGAAGGAGCGGCAACATGAGAGCTGTTTCCTGTTGTCTTTGGCCCCTGTAGGGCCATGGTAGAAACTTCTGACTATAGAAGAGAGTTGAGGGGCAGGTGAATTTGGCCTGAGAGAGGCATGTGCTTCCTTTGGCCTTGGCTGTCTTGGCTGGCAGCTTTAGAAACCCATAGAAGAAACAAGAGGAGGGTGAAGCCCAAGCAGCTGGCCTGGGGGCCTGCTGGTTTCCTGATAGGTAAGGGCAGAGGGCTCCTGGCCCAACAGGCAGGCAGCAGCTCTGGTCCCCAAGTCCAGCGTGGTGCTTGGGGGTGTTCCTTCCAGTCTTCTTTGCTTTCCTCCGCCCTGCCCCCAGGCTGGTGGTCCCCACCCCACCTGTGCCTAGGGGAACACGGGGGCCAATGATGTGCTGCAGGTCATGCTGTCTTTGCCCGGAAGCCGGCGATCGTTGAATGTGTGCATGTTGATGACGGCGTCAGTCTTGACCATCATGGGAGGCTGCGGCTTGTGCTTGACCCGACGCTGGCAGGTCAGGGAGAAGCGGATCTCATCAGCCACGGTGCTGCAGAAGGAACGCTGGGGTGGCGGGTGGGAGGGGAAGGAGCACAGGGGTGAGGCCGGGCCATGCAACTCCAGCCAACTCCTCCCCTTCCTCCCAGAGCCTGTGCTGAGGCCCCCGGCTTTCCTTCACACCTGTATGCCTTCCGCCCTCTGCCCCCTGCAAGGTGATTAGTTGGGGTTGTTGTTGTTTCGTCGCTAAGTCATGTCCAACTCTTTTGTGACCCAATGGACTGTAGCCTGCCAGGGTCCTCTGTCCAAGGGATTTCCCAGGCAAGAATACTGGAGTGGGTTGCCATTTCCTTCTCCAGAGGATCTTCCCTACCCAGGGATGAACCACATTTCCTGCACTGGCAGGTGGGTTCTTTACCACTGAGCCACCAGGGACACCCAGGTGGTTTGGTGAGCAGCCTACAAAGCATCACGTCCTTGTTTGGGATCTAAGGTGATATCATCTTAGCCCCATTTGACTGATGAACACACTGTGTCACATTAAAGTCTGAGTAGTTTACCTGCCTGACTTTTCTCCACTAGCTTCTGAGGGCAGGAACCAGCCAGTTTCATCCTATGAGCCCAGCCTCCAGCTCTAGGCCTGGCTCAGAGTCAGGGCTTAAGAAACACTTGATGAATATATGGATAACCTCTCTGAAAGGGGTTCCCACTGAAGGGAGGAGTTGCTTTGCTCCCGTTCAGGGAAGTCTAGTACAGATTTCTCAATGGGGAGGCAGGTCCCTGTAGGGCTTTTTCTGGCTTAGGTCCCTGTGGGTATCCAAGAGGGATAGCTCAAGTGCAGCACTGCCCACAGGTATCTGATGGCAGTGGCTTCTATGAGACCAGCTGCCAGAGGCTGTCCCATGGCTTGTCGAGAAGGCAGCGGGCTGTCGTTATCTCAACTTGCCTAGGGAGGCCTGGGCATCAGCACTCAGACAGGTTGTAGTTAGGTCATGTGGTGCTGGGGAACGGGGACTTGGCTTTGAATTCTGACTCTGCCTCTTACCCTCTGGGTGACCTCACCAAGCTTCTTCTTGCTCTCCCACTAAATGCAGGACATCTTCCCTCCTTACCTCCCCTTCTTCATTCTGTGACTATTTACTGAGACCTACTCTGTGCCATTTTCATACTGTTCATACTGTTCATGGGGTTCTCAAGGCAAGAATACTGAAGTGGTTTGCCATTCCCTTCTCCAGTGGACCACGTTTTGTCAGAACTCTCCACCATGACCTGTCTGTCTTGGGTGGCCCTACACGGCATAGCTCATAGTTTCATTGAGTTAGACAGGGCTGTGGTCCATGTGACACTGAAAGATAAACTCCCCAGGTTGGTAGGTGCCCAATATGCTACTGGATATCAGTGGAGAAATAACTCCAGAAAGAATGAAGGGATG